ATTCTCTGGACCTCGCTATAGCTGTTGCGCACGCACATCACAGTTGTTAGTACATCGACGGTGGTTGCCGCCGTTAAAGATGATGGCACCCCGCTTTCTTTTATTTTTCTGGGTCGAAAGAAATTCGCTAGGTCGCTATTAGTGGCAGCACCGACGCACCGGTGCTGCAAATAAGCTGGGTGGAAATTTTGTAGGTGAAGGGAAAAACACGTGAAGAAAGTTGGCAACGAAGCTACTGTTACGCCGGTAGTAGCCACTACGGCAGTCTTCAGAAGTGGAGACGATGTTGAGTAGCGATCAAATATTTCAAAATAAAAGAGACTTTAAAATGAAGAAACACGGCCTACTACTAAAAATAAAGATTGCATAGGGAACCCCTTCTAGATGTATCAGGATACTAGTGAGTCTAGCTGCGTCTCCCGTTTACTCGTCTACGGGACTTATGCCGAAAGTAGCTTGGCATTTAAGCTCTCGATGTTTGAGTGGGAAACGCCAGCGCCCCCGTTGCCATCGTCACAACCATCAGCATACCCCGTTAGTGTCGGTTGCCGTTGATGCTTGGTTCCACCAGGCAACGGCTCGCCTCGAAACGTGCGGCTTTACCTACATTTGCTATAGATGGCTACATCTAGATTGTTATGGTGCACACAATTACTGCCAACTGCACGACGCTTACGGAGCGTCTCGTTGACCCATGGATTCATCGCATATAGACACTAACATAGCAGGCGCTACTGACAATCCGAATAGAGCATAGTCACACAGAGTGTACCCTTGCACCCCAAACGTCGTTAAACCCCTAGGATAGGCGGTAAAAGACAGAAGTAAATCGAAAACGAAAATAAAAACAATAAAAAATGAGAATCGTTAGAGTTTTTTGACCGGATATCGAAATTTTGCTGCTGATAGGGCACCGCGTCCCGATGGCGGTCGTGGGTGGACTGGTGTTAGCAGCGGTGGCTCGGTAAAGGCCCACCAGAAGTCAGCAGACCCCCCAACGGTCCACATTTAACCGCTACCAGATAACAAGAAACTTTCACTCGCAAAGAGAAAGGCAAAACGGCGAGAAAATGCTGTACGAATAAAAAAACGAAAAAAAATAGACACAATGCGAAAGGGAAAGAGGTCGAGAAGGGCCCGAAAGCCACAGACGCCCGCTCGACCATTGCCAAATAGCAGCGAGACGGAAGTTCTTCCGTCACTACCTGCGCCGTCTCAGTTGAAATTAGCGTTTCGACTACGTAATGATGGCTGGCTACCACGTATTCTATAGCTAGCTCGTTAATAGCCAAATGTCTTATTACGTATATCAACTGTGATTGCTTTATCGGCCATTTAAGTAGTGGTTATGGTTTAGCGATGATAGCAATCGATGGCTAACAATCCTGCCAACGACGCCGGAAAGTCTGTCTATGATAGATAGCTAAGGGCAATCTTTATGTTTCGAGCTTTACGTCCGGTATGTCCGTTATTCATTATATCAAACGGCTGACTCCCAACACGAAATAAAGTCTGTCTATACCTGGGTTCGAACCTAGAGCATAATGTGCCCCAAAGATTGGCAGACAAACATGTTACCCCGTAAGCTATCACGAGGGAACAGTACGTTGTGGTCTAGGTTCAAACCCGGACATGGAGAGACTTTGTTTCGCGCTGGGAGCCAGCCGTCTGACGGAATGTCTAATGGCGATACCGAACGTAAAACTCTAAACATAGAGATAGCTTGGGGTAGCGTTATAATAATATTCCTATGATAACCAATTAATGCAGGCCGTTCGAGTAGTTTCACAATAATTCGGCCTAAGAAACGCCAGGCATGGGCTAGATTCGCCCATTTCAGCGTCATCAGCATCATGAGACTCATCCTTTACAGCTTCTCGATCGACGCGCGAATGTTCTGCTAATCCCAATATTGACAAGCACAAGCTAGACACCAGCTGAGTGTACATCGCTTGAGCAAGAGTGAACTTGTTTAGGACATCCGCGCATGTAAATAAATACTTAGTTCACGCAGAAAAACGAGTCCTGTATAACTTGTCCGTGCAGAATGTAGAATCAATCGATGATCTATCTGCACGACCAGCCAATATGATGAATGCAAAAGTCACTCGATGGCGTTTGTCTAATGGTCCGTCCTTTACCTCCAAGTGATGAAGTTGCTAATCTGCTTGAATATGTTCCTGAATCTAGATTTTTCCAATACGAACATCATGTCGCATCTCGTTCCGGTGCAAATCAGCGTTGTGCTTCTTTCTTAGTCGTCCACTGCCTCCGTCAGCGCCATCCCCTCTACCGCCATCGTCGATTACTGACTGTATAGTCAATCACCGTAGAGGGTAGGCTAGAATGGCGGGAATGGACGAGAACCGTTCGCCGGTAGCCTGCCGAGGATGGCACAGTTATCGCAGCGTCTACGTCCGTTTTGAAAGTACATGCCCGTAATTAAAACGCGCCGACCCGGGATGGTGCAGACACAAGGAAAGCAAGTAAATAGCGGGGCAGGCAAATGGAACGAGAAGCTCTGTCGAGCCACTAACGGGTAGCTGCTTGACAAGCAAGCAACGAGCTCTGAAAGAAGGCAAACAACCCATAATACTGACGTCGTTGACCGTGGCGTAACGCGGGGTACCTGCTGGTTCCACTGCTGAGAGAAGACTGTCGCTACTGCGATATGGCTACGGTACGACGACAAGATATGGGCGGACTAATGTCGCCTCTCCGAACAAGCGATACATTACAGACACAAATCGAAGATTCGTGGAAGAATGAGTCTTGCTGAAGACGCGCAGGGAGAGCCCAAATACTAAAGAGGCGAACCTGCAGCGCAAAACGGAAGGAAGCGTGTGGAAGAACAAGCGGCAACGGTGGCTAAGTTCATTCCCCGGACGACGGGATGATATCCATCGCGATTCATCGAAAGGTCGAAGAGCCGAAAGATAGGAGGTTGGCTAACGAAGACCAGCTAGATTCGTCACCGATGGCAGTGACCGTACAGGAGGCCGTTAGTAGGATCGTCGCGGCCGTGGATAACCCGTTACTTTCTGGCCCTGCAACGTAATAGCCGACATGGTCCAGCCGTGTTGGCTACACGTCAACTGAAAGAAACAGCGGCACTTCCTTTGAAGACCCAAGGCGACAGGGATATAGTAACAAGGAGGCTGGCTAGACAGAACGTTTCATGATGGCGATGTTATGTTACGTGCAAAAGCAACAGGAAAACTGGCTGCGTAATGTACTGAAGTTCGGACGAGGACAGCTATGCTACTACGACAATCAAGCGGCGACTGCGAATCAACACAGACAGGCGAACGCAATTGGACGAGGTCACGAATCCGCACCCAAGAGAACTACACGGTCGACAGTATGAAGTGAGGTAAGGAAAAGCGATAGAATGAATGGATTTCTTCGATAGGAAAAGTGGCAAGGCGATCGGTGATTTCGGAAATGGGTTCTGCTACAGCAGCTTCACTGTGACAGCGTGGTACGTGTAGCATCTTGCTCATCCGCTTTGTTCTTGACAGTGTTAAAATCGATGCCCAGATTTCTGTTTTCTCTCTCCCTGAGATATTTTGTAGTTGACCATTATTCTTTGCCCATGTTGACACCGATGCGGGCATTCAATTCTTAAGGGGTACACGAAGCAGGGAAGATCAACGAAAGCTCGATGAAGCGAAATCGCTTCACTGGATAACTTCTCCATGTTAAAGATGTTCTTATTATTCAACGATTATTCGCAAGCTATCATGAAAAAATTGATGCTGTCGAGACTTCCCTCACGGACCTCGGTCTCACAATCCAACCCAGCGTTGGTCTGTAATCGCGAACCGCTTGTCAAACCGGATAAAACCAGGGATGACTGACGAACACCTTATGAGCTCCTCCGCCGTTAAGGCTCAGCCTAGCGAGCGGATTGTCCAAGCCGCCGTTAGACAGTTGCTTGCTTGCTTTTCGCGTTCATTAATAACACCGATGCTGACAGTAAGAAAAAACACAACACGAGAATGTCGAGGTGGTTGACCCGTGGGGGGCCGCTCCAAGCCTTCAGGGGCCGCTCCAAGCCTTCAGGGGCCGAACCGAGTTGTGCCATCCGAGTGGGTTGGTACCTGGCAGGAAAGGAATAGCCGTGGGTCGAGGTGCCCCTCGTAACACGCAGTTAGAGGCGCCTCCGGGATTAGCTAGCAGTCGCTGGCGACTGGACGTCGGTTAACTCAAATGTACCGACGATCCGATGCTTGCTGTCAGCAATGGACAGAAGACGCAGTGAAAACAGTAAAAGCAAAGCATGAGTTCTTAGTCAACGAATCGGATTTGGCAAAAAGCCAATATCCAAGCTTATCGCGTGATAACTATAAATGGTTTCGATAACGCAGAAGCCCTAATCTAAACAAACGGCAGTGGGCAGTAAGTAAGCCAGGCTCTAAAACCGAACCTTGGGAAGATATCTATCAGGTTTTGCAAGCACATTTTTGATTACGTTTTTGACATTGTAGCTTTAACGATCCGACGAGCTCTTCACGAAGAAGGGGGTCGCTTAACAAAGTAAGACAATCGTACACTGATTACATCCGACTCACACTGTCGTACGACACCGGTTGAACAGTGACATAAATGCCATATTAGTTAGCAATTACTGATTAGACGGCTACTAGTGGAAAAACAAATAAAAAAAAATAACGACTTTCTAGTAACGTATTGACGGTAGCTACGATTAAATCAGTGTTATTTCTATGCGCTAACATCCTCAGTGTCGAAAACGTTCTATATAGATTAACCTCTACGTGATTCTGCACATGAAATAACCCGGCGCACGAGTCAGAAGGGTTCGCACTCGGACTGTAGAAACGTGCATTTCGTATATTAAGCTCTTTGCAGGCTACATAACATTTCGATCATGAACACCAATATTGCTGCTTATACACCCCAGAAATAAACAGCAACTCGCTAAGAAATCACAGCAATAGATACCAATCATGTAACTCTAAATGTTATCGACTACTCACGGGCTCTGGGAATGGACAACATTGTTTTGCTGCTGCGACGACAGACTCGAAATACTCGGTGAATAGACGGGTTGCTGCTGCGAGGCAGAGGTCGCGAAGTCTGCAACGGTATCTCCACGTTTGTTGGCTACCTGTGAAGGTCCCGAGGAGCTGGCACCGGCGTTGGGGCTCGAAGCGGAGCCCCCGGTCGATGACGATCCTTGCGATGATACCGCCTGACCGGAAGCTGTCGATGAGGCTGCGGCAGCCGCCGAAGCAACCGCTAGCAAGCAGCACACGAGCACCTTCATCCTCAGCAGCAGTAGGCGACGATCTGCAATCAACAGGACAAGGAGAACGTACAACAAAAACCGGCAACGCATCGATGAGCGCTGAGCTTCGACAGAGAATAATGATAATACACATGTCGGTGACTACTTCAACAAGCGGCACCTAACAGGAAATATCTCAGTAGAGTGACTGATCTCGATCGTGGTTCACGGGGCGGCACTTGAGTCACTCTAACTGAGCTAATCAAAGTGCCCCTTTCAGAGGAACGCCTAAAAGCTGATGTTGAAATAGCAGATCTTTGATATGCGGTGTTAAGCCAATATTCGTCAAATAACGATTCTTATTGCGGTGGGCACATACACGCTGGGCTTATATCTAGCTGTACAGGTCCTCGCGGATTTCGAGGTCGCCGGAAGGTGGCAAAGAGCACGAGTACCTGTCACCAAAGGCAATCTATCTCTACTATAGCGCCACACCTTGATGGAAATTGCAACGACGTGTCTCTCCGGTTTCTCCGTCTGTCCTCCTATCCTTGAGCGTTGTACGGCAACAAGAACGACTATCGACCGGTAGCAGTCTACGCTACTATTGATGTGAATGCTTCGTGGCCGAGGGCCGCTTTGGTTGTGAGCCCGAATGAGCGCCCAGTTGAGCCGCGAAGATACGCGAGATACGGACTCACAGACAGACAGACACATCAGCCAAAGAACCGGCGAAAGAACGAACGCCCGGAGCACCAAAAACGCCAAAAAGCTGTCGCCGCCGCTGCTGCTGCTACCATCACCGCTGCTACTGAGCCGTACCGTGCTGCCGTGTGTCGCGGTGACTTCAGATGCTCCTCCCAGACTCCTTTCTCTCTCTCCCTCCTGTACCAATGCTCCAAGCCGAGTAGGGCTGCGCGCTGCGGCCCACTGCTGACGCCGGGTTCTACCAAGCGCTTCTTCACATAAGTCAGTAACCCAGTCAGTCAGCCGGCCGGCCGGCCAGACTCATCGCAGTTGTCGACACGAAACGCTGCCGGGATCTAGCTGCCGCAGCGTTGGCATCGACTAGCATTGCTACTACGACTAGCATTACTGCTATCGAATGATGTGGGTCAGTTTAGGAAAGGGCCAAGTCGAAATCAAGACTCGACAGATTTTACCGTCACCGAGCCAGCCGAACTCTTTGAGGGAACGCGGGGGGGGGGGGGGGGGGGGAAAAAAATGATACAAACGAGTGCTAGTATGTTGTTTCCGTCCAAAAGTATACGAAGAGACAACAATGACAAGAAACGGAGAGAGATATAGAGAAAGGAGGGGTAAGAGGGACTGTACAAAGACGCAAAGATCATGGATCTACCCCAATGGAGACTACTGAAGTGCTCATACGCTTTCAATTTTTTTCAAATCTTAGGGAGCGAATAAGAGAGAAAGAGAGCAAGAAACAGGGAGAGAGAGAGAGAGAGAGAGAGGGGGCGAGAAAGAAAGCATAACGAGAGAACATGATAACTGAGTGAAATTGAGTACTGTTCTCAAGTGTTTCGGGTCCTACATCGCTCTGGACAGTGGGCCTCAGCACAAAATGAAACGTGCCCACGCCGAGTTTCGAATATGGACCTTCTCCCTTTGCGCCCTTTAGTAAACACATACATTACCACTTCGCCAACTGGGGAAGCATTGTCCTTAAATATTAATTGTTATTTAGCCATGTAAATTGCACATCTAGGTAAGGCGCGAGTGATTCGATAATCTATAGAACATTTTTGAAATCAAATATATTGTAGACCCGATGCGAGTTATAAGCTATACTACAAGTGACATGTAAGTGAAAAGTCTGTCTTGATCGGTCGAGTGTAGATATTCTACTCTCAAACGCTAAAATTAGGCAGGTACTAGTCAAATATAATGACACGCAATTTTCAATAAAAAAAAAGGTGTTGTACAGGTGTTCTTAAGTACACAGAAAAAAATTCAACACAAAGCATTTTCCGCACTATAGTAGGGTTTTTAGGAAAAAAGGTAGATGCGACAAGTCCACGCGATATAGCTGGTCGGCGTGTCGCCGGTGGGGCCACCGTAAATTGCCCCTACAGCAAGCGACTGATTCAGTCCAATTAGCAAAGAGCTCAGGGCTTTGACGGGCTACTCGGAAAAAAACGATCGAGTCCATGACCTAACGCATGGTCCATTGGGCGACGAGAACCGAAAGTGAACTGCTACTACTGAGTTAATCAAGTTGTTGTTATTACCACTATTACTTTTCAAAAGGAAAGAGACGTGTGCACACAGGATGTCTCAGAAAATGACGTACAAGACCGTTAAACTGCTTCACTGTGTAACTTATTCCTTGGTGATCGTTGCGTATACGTAGACAAACTTACCTAACTGCCGACGCCTCAGTGCTGTCGTTGGAGTTATTTAGTTTGTGACAAGCTGTTAAGTAGATGATCGTGTCGCTGCTGGAAGTCGAAATTACTATGGCTAACTTTGCTTGTTGCCGCTCGCGTCGTAAAGTTCACTAGCGGTTTAGGCGAGTTCGCCGGCACCAGCACTCCTTCACTGGGTCGAACGTGAAAAACTATTGATGATAAGCACTCAGATGAACGACGATGGGTTCCGCTGATTGGGTGTGCAACCGAAATAAGCACATGCGCCAAAAGTAATGAAATGAGTCGACGTTGACTCGTCGCCGCCGCCGCCGCCTGTGAAGATGTCGCACACAGTACCCCAACCCGTTCTCATTCCGTCGACGACGAACGCCTGCCGCCGGAGCAAGCAGGAAGCAAACCCTTTCTGGAAGAGGTTACGCTTCCCGCCGTAGCAGATGGCCACACCGAACGGGTGAACGGTAGAAGGAGAAGCGAAAAAGAAGTCCGTGCGACAACCCACAGGCCTGCGATGCACATATAGCGCTTGTTTGCTCGTTCAACTGGCCGCTTCGCGTTCCCTGGAAAGAGACAAAACCGTATCACCGTCGTCATGGTCAGCGTTTCAGCGATCAGGATCTTCGGCAAAAGCAACAGTAGTAGCGATAACGAAAGCACCATGACCAACAAAATCAGGATCAGGCTACGCCACTCTCATCTTGTCTAGTGGTCATTGCGCGTTCATGCCGAAATAGCACGTCAGTGCAGCCACGTTTGTCGGGTCGACTCGCGCCAAAGGCCTTGACACTGTCTAGTGGCGGCCACCAACGACAGCGATAGCAGTAAATGACTACGTAGCTAGAAAACATAACATGATGCGCACGTGGCACGAGACTCGGTCGGGCTCGAGACTAAAACCCAGCGGGAACGTAACGATGTATATATAGTGAGCCAAAAGCAATTGGACTTTCTATTTGACACTTATTAAAGTAGCAAAAAGTGCACAAGTTATTCCAATGAAAAGCTGATTTAGCTGTGCAACCGACTTGTAAATGAGATACCTAACGCTTTGCCTATATTCCTAAAATACTATGTTATAGTAGCATAGCGTTTATATATATCTGAAATGCAATGTCTGCAATAATAACTAATATATGGAATATTCTAAACGCGAATCGGATGAGCAAGAAATACGCTGGAGGAGTTTCAGGTGACTCAGTCGATGTTGGACACGTCCCTGCTTTCGTTTTTGCTTTCTTCACGTTAATTAAAGCTTCAATTAATCTGGTAAGAAAAACCGCGACTTCTGACGATAAGACCCAAACTTCAATTATATATTCGTCAGTATTCTAAGAAGATTCATGTATAACGCACATGCACGCCACTGGATCAAGCCGAGCCGATGGTGATTCAGCGACGACCAATCCCGTTGGTGCTATTCCTTAACATGATCGAATATCGATGGGTATGCATGTTTTCATGAGACAGTTACGGTGTCCCTACGGCTCAACGCTGGTCGCCTATTCTCTGTTGTAGCGCATCGCAGACGTAGTAGTTACTCGCGCATAGCACGCCAAACGGAGCATCTTCAGCAGCGGCTTACAACCTGCACCAGCGTCCGTGTGCACTTACAACGTTTAATTCACAACTGGCGCAAAAGTGCTTAAGGCATGTATACAAATGATCCTTGAGACGGCGCGCCGCCACCGTTCCGATTATCGAGGAACGACTGGTCCTAGATGGAACGGTCCGGTTCTTTGGCTAGACTAGCGCCGATCGTTACTCCATGCTCTATCGTGCGTATGCAAGGATGGTGCGGCAGACAGCGCGACTACATGCTGTCCCACGGGAAAAAAGCACCAGGCATTCATGTTGCCTTGGTGCCATTCTTGCTGTCGTCGCATCTACCGTGCGTGAACTAAAAGAAAAAAAAACACTTCGTTTCGTCCCGCGGGGTATCTCAAAAATGAAGTACGATCACCGCACGGACACACGACGATGTTCGATGGACAGGGGGTCGCAATTTGTCGATGTTGATATGTGCCCATATCGGTATTCGAGCGTACGTGTATACGACTAATTGCTAAGCACTACGGCTGTTACAAGGAGGTCCGTATGAAGGTTCACGCTTGATCAAAGAATGAAATAGGAAGGCGTGCAGTTGTAAGGCACTTTCGTTTTTCGACAAGGAGCTGGCTGTTAATACTCAGAGCTATGGTATCATATAAAAGATGCATTGAATGCAACACTAACATTTTTATAACACTTCGTTGGCCATCTGCTACAGGATATCTACCGTAAGATATCTTCTAGCATTACAGTTGTATCTGCAGTATATCGTCTGAACGGCAAAGCATAACCGTATGATTCTTGCGGTGTCGTTACCGCCACGTAAGCTCCGAAAGTCCACAATGCATCAATTTATCATCCATTTATACGTTAGAGACGCACGTTAAGTGATCAAGGGTTGGTTTAGCCTATTGGCGCATTTCGATAGCCAAATACCCAACCAGGTCTTCGTTCAGTCAATATAGACTGAAGTATGCAGTGTCCCTTAAAACGTTGTGTTAATTCCATATTGTTTCAGCTTGTGTCTGCTCGCAGCAGCGTCCCTCTAAACCTATTATTAATCAATACCGAGTAAATGTAACCAGAAAAACCTTTGGACATAACTTCGAATACAAGTTCTCTATGGCCAGGCCTATTTTTGTCAGAGTCAAATAGGATCTGAGAGGGCAAGAAGAAACGTGCTTTGTCACAATGATGCACTAAAAAAGAACTAACTGGCAAAAAAAGAATCATTATCGCTATTTCGCCAGATCGATTGTCCCTCAGCCTCACTACCATTCTATCACGGAGGGTGTTTACCCTGCACCTCAACCGAACTAGCTAATCACTAAGACAAAAAACTACAATTTATTGAAGAGCACAGTACCTGCAATCGCTTCGTGAAAAGGGCGAGACATGATGCGTGAATACGTATGCCAGTAAACATCTAGGCGTTTCTAATAACAAGATCAGTTAGTTCATTGAATAAAACCGACCGAACAAACCGACAACGATGCGTTTCATTTAAACGTTTCTAAGGTCGAAGGTAAGAATGTCCTGTCTATAAGGCTCTCCACAGGGACTGTTTCGACGTTCTAATTGTCACCTGAAATTTCTCAATATTATTTATGAAGTAAAAGAATGTATAAATGCATGAAACTATTATTTTGATTAAATGCCTAATCTGATTAAATGTAATCTAGGAACTTTCAATCCTCGGAAGATGCGGAGTCAAAACTTCCAGCAACTTACCAATGTTGTGCCTAATATCTAGCAATATAAGTAACGCTTTTGAAATCGATAGATATTAGCATAACTTTTTTCACAGTGCTTCAGTTCTTAGCGTTAAGGTACCGAGGTGCACAGGTGTGAACGATAAATCAATATCTTGCCATTATGCAGAGGGTTAA